ATACCCTAATCGTGGCTAGATGGAGCCTGGGGGGATTCTAAGCCAGCAGACTTTTCATTCTCAACTCCACAGAGTTTAGAGCGTCTTCCTGGGGAGGTCCTCCCTGGGGCAAAGTTAAGAGCTCCCAATCTAAACAAACTCCTTTCAGATGTCAAGGGGGTAAAAGACCCCAGAGGATGCAGACATACTATTCTCACATCCAGAAAAATCAATCTATGTGTGTCCCCTCAGCGCATAATTGTCTCATTCCCTGACCATAGGTAGGTCCCTAAAAGCACAGCGCCCCTCCGCCTCGGTATTACCTGTAAAGCGCCGGTTCAGGCCCGGAGCCCGCCCCGTCCAGCGCGCGGTGTGCCAGGCTCAGAGCTGCAGCCGCACGACGACCGGGCTCCCATCCAGCAGCCTCGGCCTCTAGCAGGGACAGCTCCAAGAAGTAGGTAGCCAGGAGCAGCACCTGTCAAGCCTGGGACAATCAGGCTGCGCCTCCACCACGCAGACCACACCCCTCCCCGTGCGCCACGCCCCTCCCCTCACGCACGCACGCAAGCACGCACGCAAGCACGCACGCAAGCACGCACGCAAGCACGCACGCACGCACGCACGCACGCACCGTCGGACGCACGCACACGCGCACGCACGCACGCAGCACCACAGTCTCAGGGCTTCTGTGAGAAACACGACGTTTGAACGCTGAATCAGGGCCGAAGGGAAAGGGCAGCGCGAGGGGTCGGGCAGCTGGACACAGCTGTGTGCACAGCCCCGTCCACCCCGGCAGCCGCCCCGCTGCGGTGGCCGCGTTCTGCAGGGAGAGGCCGCAGGAAGGTTCCCGAGCCCGCGCGCCGCCCCCCAGGACGGGCCAGAGTCCAGTCCAGTTCCGGGCGAGCGGGGCCAGCGCCAGCGAGGGGACGGAAGGGGGCGCAGCCCCCGGCGGGGCGGCTCCCTGGAGAGGCGGCGGCCACAGGCGCGGCGCCACAGGACACCTTCGGCCCGGCGGCCGGTCAGAAGGGTCAGTAGCAGTGAGCCCGGCAGCTGCTGGCCAGCAAAGACAGTGACACGCCACGAACACGAAGACACTGACCGGCCGCCGCAGCCAGGAACGGCAACCCCGGCCCAGCAAGGTCAGCCCTGCCCAGCCCGAGGGCGCCACCGTCCCCAGCAGGGGGTCTCAGGAGGTTCGCGGCACGTGCCAGGAAACCGGGGAACAGTGCCGGCTCACTGGGGAGCCCGTGGAGAGGCGGCCGGCCGGCTGCGGGGAAGGGAAAAGCGGGAGGCGGGAAGGGTGGGACGGACCCTCTGCGCACGGCGGATTTGGAATTGCGCTTCCCCCGTGACTCCAGCCGGGCTCCTCCCATCAGCAGCAACTGCTCAGATTGAGAAGAGCGCAGCACCCGGACACTGGGCAGTGAGGGCGCCCCCACCCTCAGGGCGCCCCCTGACCCCGGGGCGCGGCGTGGGGCGGATGGGGCCGCCGCGAGAGGCCCCCCTCTTCCCCGCTGGCCGCTAGGGTGCCTGGGCCGCTGGGGCCGGTGGTGGCCGCCGTCCATGTTTGGAGCCAACAGGCCGCCAGTCGGGGCGAGTCGGGGAGGCACTTTGCACCTCAGTGGCGCGGGAGCCCTGCATTCACGCCCAGAGGCAATGGCACAGGGTGTCCAGGAGCTCAGAGGCCGGAGCGAGTGTCCTGTGACCGGTGTGGACAGGATCCCGACTTGCAGCGTTGCCCACGGAGGACTTTTCCCGCAGCATTCCCCCCCCCAACTGGAATGTAGGCACGAGGTGCCAGGTGGCCCTTTCAGATGGTGGACTCTCAACGTGGGGGACGGAGGGCCCCGGGCGCGGCAGGGAGCAGCGTGGCGGGACCCGTGGCCAGCTGCTGAAGGGGACAGGCCAGCGCCCGCGCTAGCCGGGGACCCCGTGTGGCAGCTCCCCCCGCACAGGAGAGTCGGAAGAGTACCCGCACGCCTGCAGGCTCGAGGAACACACTCTGACCCCGGCAAGTCATCAGACCTGACTAGGGAATAAAAAACCTGAGTAACGCGGTGTTCACTAGCCCTGCGTTCATTCACTGAGCGGAATGAGCGCGTCCCAGCAGGAAAACTCAGGCCCAGGTGTCCTCGCCGGTGGCGTCCAGCAAGCATTTAAGGAAGATGAAAGGAAGGAGGGTCCCTGTCGGGGCCCTCGCTTGGGGCAGGCGGGTCCAGCCTTGCAGCCCTGGGCCAGCGGATGGTGAGGAAAGGGCCTTGTCGCTGCCAGGGGCGAGCACAGCGGAGAGGCTGCCGCGCCGTGGCTTAGGGGTGGCATGGGGCAGCCTCCGCTCAGCTGTGGCCAAAGGGGGGCGGGGCCTGGGCCCTGACCAGCCTGCGGGCCGGTCTCCCTCCGCCTTCGCCCGCCCCTGGTTAACAGGGACCGTCCACTCCCGAAACCAGCCACAGTGCCCGCTCCTGAGCTCGGTGCCCGCCCGCAGAGCTGGCGCAGGCCCAAGGCCCGCCTTGTGGGAGACACCGAGTCTTTCTCAGGCTGCTCAGAGCGCCCCCACCGGCTCTCCCACGAACCCTGCCGCTCCCACCGCGGCCCTGCGTGGGAGCAGACCCCAGGGCCCAGGGCTGCCTGCTCCTCTGGGGTGCTGGGGGCGGCGGCGTAGGAATTCCAGTGTCCGGCGAAAGGGAGCTGCGGGCCGGAAGCTGGGTCTTCCCGTGGCGGTGGGAGGCGCGTGGATCTGAAAGTGGGAAAACACTCGCCTCTGCCCGGCCGCCTCCTCCTGCAGCGTCCGGGCCGTTTACCGGGTCCCTTTCTCCGCCGCAGCGGCTCGCTGGAGCAGGCCTGCACGGCCGTCTCCTAGCAGCGGCCCGGGGGCCTCTCAGACCACAATGGGCGGGCAGGGAAGAAAGAGCTTGGTTGGTTTAAGCGGCCGCTGTCTCCATTCACAGCCTGACGTCCCCCCGCATTGTGCCGGCCACAATGGCACTAAAGGCGGCATTGTGGCCGAAAACAAGTCAAAACAGAATGAGGGGGCCGCGCTGAAAGAGTCCGTGCTCCGGACTCTCGCGAAATCCCAGTCTTACATCTGAGATTTATGTCCCCTTTGGCTGTGTGGCCTCTTGACCGTGTTCGTCACCACCCCGGGCCCCGGCGGACAGCAGGCCGGCCGGCGGCCCTGTCCGGCGCTGGGGAGAGGTCCGGTGCGCGGGGCGGCGTGGAGGCTGTTTAATAATTACCCCGCTTTGTTTGCACAACATTTGGGGAGCCGCGTTCTGCTCTGTGTTTATTTTCCTCCTGACAAACGTGCCCGCGCTGTGCCCATGTGGCCCGAGCCGGAGGCCCCTCCCGCCCGCCACGTCAGAAGTGGCAGGAGCCCACGCCCAGCGAGGCAACAGGTGGAGGCTGAATAGCTTCACACGTTTGGGAGAGGGGGTGGGGAGAAAGAGAAAGGGGAGGGCGGAGGGACGGCTTCTGGGAGCCGATTTAAGGATTAGATCAGATGTTATTGCTAGTGAAAAATTAAACAGCCCGGTGCTCCGGGGAGCGCAGATTAATATATTTAGTGGCGGCGCACAAAGGCCGCCATTGTGGCGCGTCTGAATGCCTGTGAATGGGACTGAGCATATGCGGGCCGTCACCGCAGGTGCCACATCTGTTCTTCCCGGGCAGATGCTCGCAGAAAGGGAGGGAGGCGGGCGGAGCCCGGCGGCATGGCCGCCTCGCCAGCCTCGCCGGTGCGGGCC